CATCACAGAGCATCTTCTACCATAGAGAAGAAATACCAACCATCTTCTACTACACAGAAGAAAAAAAATTCAGCCACGGAATTCCGGAGCATCCCCTACTACACAAAAGAAGCACCATATTCTACTACACAAAAGAAGAAAAAACTCAAGATGTAACAAGATCTTCTATTACATAGAAGAAAAATGAATTTCATCTCCTACTTTACGAAAGAGAAGTTTTAGCAACTGAATTCCGGGGAATCTCTTCCTTCACAAAATAATCTCCGTCTTCTACTACACATGAGAGAAAATCAGATGAGGAGAAAGAGTCTAAAAAGGTTTGTCAAACATGGACTTAACCTTGGAAAAGAAGCCTAACAAGTGGTCTTCGATATCATAACTGGGTGCCCTAGAATGGGAGACATGTCTAGCATTTGCGTTGAAATTAGGAGATAAATTTGTGGGAGGATGACCCAAAGCCCGAAGCTTAATCAACTGAGCCTCCAACACACGAGGAAGAAACTGAATGCAAGGTATATATATTACATCAACATGCTTCTCAGTTTTCTTTTGTCTTTGCTGATAAGCTTTGCCCCATGGGTTCACTTGGGGACCATAAACTAGCTGCTGACGAGAAAATCTGAGAACACGAAGTTCTGGGTGAGACCCACAAAGTATCTTTCGATTTGAAAAATGTCCCATAGACTATGGATGAATGACAACTTTTGTTGGAACAACATGCGTAGGATCACTTTCCTTTGTTGACACTGTCTTCAGAACTTCCATACCTGACTCAACTATGTCTTCCACTGGTTATTTCTCCCTTAAGGATTTCGGACCACGGATCAAGACCTGCATGTCCATAATAAACAACCCCATAAGATTTTTCATCTCATTCCCCCCGACGTAGTTCCATGGCCTTTTTGGATCACAGTGCAGTGAGAAGTCACGATTTGAAGTTCTAAAAATAATATCAGGCCTGGATAAGAATTCCCCACTTCGAGTACCTGCTATGGATGCATGAAAATGCATGAGACAAACGAGTGGATGCAATGCCATGTTCAATCATTTTCAAGGAACCCACATGCTTCTAATTTTTGTTTTGATCCAGTAGGAAATGAACAAACACAACATAATATTCACAAGCACGATTCTTTGGAAATAAAAAGAACATGTGTGTTAGAAGCATACATTTTTTTCATGCATACATTTTTTTACTCATTTTTTTTTGTAAAAAGTAAATATGCTATGATGCAAGTGCACTACCATAAGTTCAAAAGTTTAGCATAACAACTGTACAATCCTCATGATAACTGTTGTATAAGTATGCTAAATAATCTGAATATCATAATATCAAAGGTTCGACACTAATTTCAGGACACAACAGAACCAAGTACCATTAATAACCATTGTATAATCTCTGAACTAGTTGAATATATCAGGATCAAAGGTCTAGAACATAACCAAAGAACCATAGTCACCAACAGAACCATACGGTCACTATCAGAACATAGTCACCATCTGTACCTGTAAAGATTATTCCCTCCCTACTCACGGGTCAAGACTAGGTCAAGGCAAGGTCAATAGTAACCCAGAATCCCAGATCCACTTAGAGAATACCATCACCGTACACTTACGTGGTAATGATGGCATCATAGGACCTCATTTGAGCATGAACGACATAACTAAATAAGGAGATCTACATACCCTACCGGTCATGTTCCACTATATTCCTAGTGTTCTTATTATTTGTCACTTGGCCTGGGTACTGGGCCTTTTACCTCTTGTAACACCCACCCATCATGAAATAGAGACATCACAGGAGCAATATAACATATAACAATAAAGATGCAATGCAAACATGTGCTCAGATAAACATATACAAAATGAACAAGCCATAAAGCATGCGAATAAACACCCAATGAAAATAAAACAAGAGCTAAGAGCGATTCCGAAATGGACCAACAGTTGGTCAATCTTTCCCTATTAAAGTCGCCAGCTGAACAAATCATCGAAATGAAATCAATGAAGTCACCATCGAACATTTTTTATCCTACAAGAAGGGAAAGGTAAACATAGAGTAAAACTGAGAAGGGTGAAATCAAGGTCGAACGATCGAGAGATACGAGTAAGGGAGTCTATTACGCGAGAGGAAGGTATTAGCGCTCCACGCGCCCGTAGTACACTACGGTATCCACTCTTGTTATTCTAATTAAAGGATGTGTTCAAATCTAATGCTTAAGAGCTAAAAGAAAAAATGCAAAGAGGGAATGCATGCAAAAGAAAACATAAAGTAATGTAGGGAAAATAAAGTTGTGCTCGGGCCCTACCCAATGCCTATGTATCCCTTTTAAGGCATCAGAGCAGCCTTAGTTCGGCTCACATGTTTTGGTTGGTTTGTATTTTTTAGTTGAACAGTGTTAGAAGAGAAAAGCCGATTGGTAAAAATAAAGGAGTCGATTATTGTTTTTACCTTAAGAAAGGGTTTAAGTTGTTAGAGAGTGTTTTTATTAGTTTAAGGAAAAAGAAAGTTTTAGTTTTAAATGCAAGGATTCAAAAATAAAGAAAACATCTAAGGGAGACTATCTAGAATCTAATCCCCAATGTTATCATACAATGATGCCTTATGTCAAGGGTAAATGGGAAATATCTATCTATGTTAGCATGCATGGATTACTATCCTAAGGTCTAGCTTGCATTGGGAAAGAAACAAGCACATCCCAATGGAGCGTGATATATACAAAGCAAGCAAGCAAAGGAAGAACGTACATGGAAAGAGTAGTGTATCCCAAACAAGCAAAGGAGAGCACATACATGGCAAAAGTAGTTCCTCAAATAAGCAACAAGCTCAAGCAAGGGGAGTACATACATGGCGAGAGTAGTGCACACTACCTCAAGCAAAATGGCCTAACCAAGATATTGCGAATCGAGGTAGGTAAAATAAAAATCAAGAAAATGCTTTATCTAAGAGGAGCGAATCACCCGAAGAAAACAAGCGGGATTGGTATAATTAAAAGAATATAAATGCTTTAGCTAAGTGGAGCAGATCACCTGAAGCAAACAAGTGGGAGAGATATGAAATAAAAAGAAAGAAGATAAATGCTTTAGCTAAGGAGAGCGGATCACCCGAAGCAAACAAGTGGGTAGCAGAGTGTCAACATTGGCCATTGCGAACTCCTGACAAAGTGTGAGGGTTGGGACAATTTCCACATGATCGCCTCGATATACAAGATCTGCACAAATCTAAAGCATCGACGTACAACATGAGCTAAGGATGACACATACTAGAATGTGCGGGGGTTGGCTGCTAACCCTTTCCGCCCGCCTCCTTTTGAGGACTTATCATCTGTAGTATATACGAGCACAAATGTAAACACACCTGTAGAATACCTGCTACACAAGTAGGGTTTTAAACAAACACAAGTAGCGTGCAATGCACATAATGCGGAATTTCCCTAAATGGATCTTTAAATAAATCAGAGCGGTTCCTGACATGATCAACAACAGAGACCCCCCGTCATACATCTCTAGTCTTACTTCTCTTGGAAAGGAAAGCAGTAAAATCCTACTTCTCATGATCCCTAGAAAGCAATAAAATGCAGAGAAAAAATAGAAGAGAAGTCATGATGATACCTAACGGAGTAGGTCCCTTACCTCTTCAAAGTCACGCAAGCGATAAGGAAACTCTACAGAAATTTCTTCACTCAAGTGAGTCAACGAATTAATCTCCAAGCATTTCACGTCGCAAAATTTGCATCAGTACTATCACAAACTCTTAGTAAAACATGGAAACAAAATGATTACCAAACATAAAAAAACAAAAAAAATAGAAAACTCTAATTGAAATCCTAAAATATTCTAAAACACTCTAATATTTTTGTATCATTTTTTTATTGTCAATTAAGAGAAAAAACTTAAACTAGAAACTAAAATCTTAATGAGATTTAGAAAAGCTAGAGGGTGTTGAGTTGTAATCAGGAAGTATAGTAAAGGAGCTCGGGCGCTAGGCTCAAACAAGGTCCATCATAGAAATTTTTGTTCACAAACAAATCAACTCACCAAAAAAATGTTGGGCTCATCGAGATGTAGGTCTGGCCCATCAATCTCATCATTAATTCAACATTATTTATTTACTATTATTAAAAGGAACAAAAAATAAAAATTTAAAGAAGAAAAGCACCAAACGGTGCGTATGGCTTTGTTTAGGATTTGGAATTGTGGCCGTTCAGCTTTCTGTTCAAAGGATACAATCTCTTTCTCCTCTGTCGTTCACAGTGCCACTACTCGATCTGGCGCCTCTATTTTCAATAAACCAACACCGTTATGGTCCGATCTCAGGTTATTCTCACCGGCGGCGGTGTGGATTCGCTTCTCTCAGACCAAATCGGCGCCGCTAATTCAAACCCCTCGTTCGCCTTCTCTTTTTCGCATCTAATTCAACAAAACTTCGTTTTCGTTCAAAACTCAGCCTCGTCAATCACCTCAACACGGATGAAAATAACCACACGGCGCGGCTACGGCACCAAATGTTGGAACAAACCGTGAAATCGCAAAACAAAATCGGAATTGGATTCCTCTAGGTATACGAGTTCTTTTACCTCCGTATCTCCTTTCTTCTTCTTCTTCTTCTTTCTGAGTTTCGGATTTCCGAGTTGTGTTGATGCATTTTCGTTGTTGAGAAGTTGTTCTAGTGATGATGTAGATTGAAGCTTGAATAGTGGCTATGTAGCGAGAGGCTAGATTCGGTCTCAGTATGACGATGACGACGCGATTCAAAGAGAGTGTAGAGACACCGATGAAGATAAAAACCGTTTAAAGATAAAAGATAATCACAGGCGATGCTATGGAGTTTTGCAGAAGCTTAAAGGATACAATGGAGATTCAAGAAGCGATGGAGATGATTGTGAAGTAGTTATGGAGAATTGAAGGTCAAAGAAGGTGTTTGAAGGTGTGCGATGTGGTACGTTGAAGATTGGAGAGGATGATGCTTGAAGACGACGGTTGCTAATAGATACGTGATTATGGAGGTTATGCAGAAGGCGATGGAGAAGGAGAATATTGAAGCAGGTTGATGGAAGTGTAACTGCATAGAGATAATGCATAGAACAAGAGAAGTTTTTGAGAGTTTCTTTGTGATGGAGGTGAAGATTGGGAGAAGAAGAAGAGAGAATTTTTCTGTGATTTTCCTGTGAATTCAAGAATGAATCGTCAAAGGTAAGTTTTCTGGTTTTATTCTGTTAATAGTGTAAAAGTTGGTTAAAGCTGAATTAATCCTGAACCATTAGATCTAAAATTTTGTTATGGAATTAAAGGGTATAGATTAGGCGATTAGAGTTTGCTATGAGAGTTAGTTAAGTGGTTTTGAAATTCTGTTGCAGGTTAGTTATGGAAGTTATGATGAGCTGGCGTTGTGTTATGAAACTGTTAATGAAAGTTTTGAAGTTTGTTTGAGAAAATTTCTAGAGGGCAAAATTGAGATGGTTTTATACTGACAGTAGAGGGAATTTAATGGAGGGTTAGCTTTAGGGTGAAAATTTTAGTTATTGAGATGTTGAAGAATGAATTCAGTAAGTTAAAAAAAATCCAGACAACAGTTAAGTGTTTATTTGAGAGGTATGTTTAGGGATTAATGACGGTTAGCTTGTTGTTGAAATTTTATTAGAAAAAATTTGGAGGTTAGAGGAAGTTAGGATCTCAGAAATTCTGTTATGGTTGTTAGAAGGTGTTTAGAAACTGCTAGTTAGCTTAATTTTTTTTGTGAAGCATAGGTTAGTATAAATTCTGTTAGTTTTTGCTTCTGGTTTTTTTTTTGCAAGGCTGATTTGTGACGCTAACTGTAAGTTTGAAATAGGACTTATCACGACAACTGTTTTAGCATAGTGCAGATGGCGTCTTGGAGCAAGATTCATCAAGCATTTTTGGGACTTATTTGGCCCGATTTTGACAATTGTATGCAGGGCTGGTTTGGTCTAACTGTCAACTTGGTTTTGAAACTTGAAAGAAAACATGGAATTTGGTTGAGGCATTCGATGGCAAGGCATGATGAAAGTTACTCGGAGATAATGAAAAAAGCTTAGGACATTAGGGTTAAGATAAACAGTTTATGTAGTTTTTTATGTATTTGATACACCTTGAATGTAGTAATATTTGGTTTCTTTTCCTTTTGAAAAAAGCGATGGAATGAGATTTGCAGTCTTCTTGTAATGGCAAAATATAACTTGAATGAAGATACGAATGAAACTTAAATGGTTATGTAACCACGTGAATTCTTGACTTCAAATGACGAAATACCTATTATTCAAAGCATTCTCCTCTTTCAAATTGAACTTAAAAATATAATCTACTTTGATTAATGTGTTGCATAAGATCCCATGATCATGATGTGAGTTCAACAAGATATTTGTCAAACAATCCAAATGATTTTGGAGTATTAACTTCTCACTTTTGTGCATTCCGCGTATTCAAAGTAGAAACTTGAATATGATTAGATGTAATCTAGAATGATGTTTAAATGAAATTTACTTCCTTTGCCAAAACCTCACCATTCTAATGAGGTCTCAATTATGGACTTTAGCAACCCAATTTGAACCCAAAGACTTCGAATGAACATTCTAAAAGGACTGGCTTGTACCAATTATTCACGACTTGAGTCTTGAGAAACAAAAACTTATAATAAAATACGCATCCAACCCTAATTGATTGACTAAAGAATAGATGAATCCAATGCATTAATGCTTTAATCAGTACCCTGTGATTTAAGCAACAAGTTTTTCTTGAATTGATGAAAGATGAGTCTCCAATAGCCATCACCAGATAAACCACATTTTGACTAAAGAATGAAAACCCTATACGAGAAGACGACTTGATTCACCCTCCACAAAGAAAATCTTAAAGCTAAATATTCATCCTTGAGAAAATCACTTAATTATAGTTAGAAATACACCTCAGACGAAAACCCAACCAATCCTTGAGAAAATCACTTAATTATAGTTAGAAATACACCTCAGACGAAAACCCAACCAAGTCTGACCATAAAGGATTCGAAACCTTAATTCTTCACTTCACTGCTTGAAGAAGAAACAAAAGAATCATAAGAATCAGAAGAATTAGGCTTTATTGGATACGAACACCTTAACCACTATAAAACCCTAATATTGCACGACTACTGAACTTTTGAACCTCAGACGCTTTATTGAATGCAATGTTATGCTATGCAAATGACCTAATAAAAAGATATGAATGTGATGCTAAGCCTAAGCCAGATAAAGGAAATTAGGAGGAAAACTTTTGGGGTGAAATAGGCAAGCCTGGACATGGCATCCAATTTAGGCCAATCATGTGTACTCTGTATGTGTGATATGTTTGAATCGAAGTAGGTCTGCTAATAGATGGTAAATCACTTATGACCACGACTAATGTTGTGTGTTCTTTAGTTCGTGCCTTGCTATGTGTTTTGGGGTACCTTGCTATGTGTTCTGGATATGTCATACACACATGAGCTACCATTGTGATATGCAGTTGAGGGTCCTTTGGAGCGTTTCCCCGCTTGTGGGGATCATATCAGCGTGCTTGGTATGGTGAGGTAGTGATACCATGTAGGATACACTTCTCGGGAAACTCACTTCTAGTGGTGCCACATAGGCAATGCCACTAGGCTTTTGCCTGGTGGGCTCGTATTGTCAAGATGGCTTTTTTTACCTAATGTTGGCCTTGTGCCGAATAGGCTCACACGTGCATGAGTAATGATAGACAGGGAGGAGACGCCATGTAGGCAATGTCACCTCGGAGTTTAACTCGTCGTAGATGGAATTTCAATTAGGAATGATCTGTTTCATCATGTCGTGTGGTGGTATAAGTCTCTTGATGCGATGCACCGGGTGACTCATCGAGGGTGTGAATGTGTAGTCTATTGAGCAGGTAGAACATACTTCTAGATTCCTCGTACACGGGTACATGTCTGCATATTGTTTATGGCCGTTGTGTCGGGCCTTGTGCGGATTGTTTATGGCCTTTGTGCTGGATGTTTTCTTGTTGCCTCATTGGATAGTTATGGGACTTCCGATGAGTGTGTACCGTTATTCTGTATTTGCACCCAGCCGTGAGGAAAAACCTTGGATTCTCGGTGAATTTTTTCTAATGTATGTACCCTGTAGTACTGAGCAAACCCGTAAGATATGGATACTCGATGAGATTTAGTAATCTCACCCCAATCCTCTTATTATTTTTCAGGAACAGGTTATAAGTGGTAGAATTGCTAGATGGTCAGTTTGAAGACTGCGGGCGAACAGATGGCAGGAAGACATTGCAGAAGTTACCTTTCCGCTGTGAAATGTTGAAGCCGAGCTTATTGTATACGTCCGAATTTGGAGTATTGTATACGATTTTAATTTTGTCTTTTCTAGCTATATGTATGTTTCGTTATACCATTTTTAGCGTCACTGCATATTATTCTAGACATATATGTATGGGGTGTTATAGTTGGTATCCGAGCAGGTCGATTCTTGTCCTTGCCATGAAAAATCACTAACAATTATCTTCTCCCTTACATGTGTGTGTTGCTAGCCCGATTTCCACCACCGTAGTATGCAGTCGTGGAGCTTGATAAACTCATTGAATGCATATGCGATGGATAAGATCACGGTGGAGCCACCACGAGGATGCGTCAAATCCAAAGCGACTCGATTTGAAGTGGTAGAGACCTGTTAAGTTGGGAGAGTGTTGGAATTGTTGAGCGTAAATGGAAAATTTGACACATAATAGTTGGTGTTGTACCCCAAAATTTTCCCTCCCATTTTTGAAGACAGTTAATTTAAGACACCTCCTCATGCTCATAAAGGTCTCAAGTACTCAAGGCTACTCAAAGGTTGACCAGTCAAATCTCCTCATAAGAAATGGGTCCATAACTAGGGTTTTATGTTTTTCAAGGAAGATTAGGTTGCAAAGGTCTCAGATGGTTTTCATGGTTCTCCATAGGTCTTCAACAATGTTCATGTCAAGTTTCAAGTCTTGCATCACAAGTTTGCCCACTCAATAGCTCAGATGATTGAAAATCAACTATATTGGGTAAAAAGTCAACTATGGTCAACATACAGTCAAACTTCAAGATTTTTGGTAAAAATCATCATTTTGAATTGATATTCATCATTTGATCAAGGTTTGATCATGATTCCTCAAGGAAATCCCTCAAATCATCAGAAGCCAAAAGTTGTCAAATTAGGGTTTCCTTAGGAGAAGTCAACTGAACTTTGACCAAGCATAACTTTCACATGCTTTATCAACTTTTCCCCAACCAAAGACTATTTTGAAGGAAATTCAATTATCTACAACTTTGTATATGTATGCTCAAGTCCAAAAAGTGCTTCATTTGAGAGATATGAGCCTATACATTATAGGTCATTTCAAAAGTCAACAAAAAGACACTTTTATCAAGGCAACTTACATCAAGATAAAGTATCCAAATGAAAAAATGATCAAAATAGAAATTATAGAGGACATCTTGAGCTTTCCAAAAAGTCTAAGACTACCTTCAAAAGATGAAAGTTGAGAGAGTTATGACCATTTCCAGTTGAGAAATTTTGGTAGAATACATGATCTCCAAATTAAGCAAACTTGTGATTTTGAGCTAATGGGCCTAACTTTTGATGTTCAAACATGTTCAAAATGTGTTAAAGGACCTCTAAATCTATTCACATATTTTTTATGATTTTTATTTCTTTTATTTTAATTTTTATTCATTTAAATGTAAATTAAAACAAATAAAATATGAGGCAATGTTATAAGGCATGTGGGCTTGCTTTTTTTGGATCAGTTCAGGCCCAAGTCAACTTGACAGCCATGATAAACCGTGTGAAATCCAAACATGGAAAGAATCTTTGAAAAAGGTAGCTTGAAAAAACATGTTTGATTTTTTTTAATCATGGCCATGATTACAAGATTCTTCCCATATTTGTTGATCCTTCCCTTCCCCTATATAAGCACAACAAGATCAGATGCAAAGGACCACACAACCTTGCCTCAAAATTGCAAAAAAATTCCAAACTTTTCTCAAAAACCTTATAGTTTCAAAACTCTCTTTACAAGCCCCCTCACTGTGAAATCTTCATCCCATTCACTCCCAGGAATATTGAAGGGTAGGTTTAGATCAGTTACCATGGTCCTAAGCCTGTGAAACTGTATAACATGGCATAACCAATTTTCATTTTTTTAATAAATTTTGTATCTTTAATTTTGTCTTGTTTTAAACTGAATTGATGCTTCTAAGAAGTTTCTGAGACATGCTTGAATAGGTTTGAATAAGTATTGTGTCCCATGCACGCTGGTTTCCAAAACACCATATTTACTTTAATCAATTTCATTTGATTCGAAACTCATGATCCAAGGGTTTATAGCCAAAACTAATTCCAGATTTGGATCCGGGAGGGTCGAATTAGGAGGGACATGATGTTTTGGATCACTAATGTTTGATTTTGCAGGTTTCAGATCATGTAGGTCATCAGAGAAGACGGCTAAAGCTAGGGCTCCGGTGCTTCTCCGTTCATCATATTTGTTTATATGTTATGTGTTTATTATTTAAATTATATTAATAGATGTAAATACCACCCCAACATTAGAAGCGAGCGTTTGAAAGGTATTTTGGTACCAGGGCATGGGTTCAATCCCTGCCCCTGGTATTTTCATCATTTTTTCATTGTTTTCTTGATTACATATCTAATACAGTCCAGTCTAGCACGCGCATCATGCACCTCTACTCATCACCATCAAATCTTTACACTACCAGATCCAACGCCCCAGATTCGCATGTGCATCATGAAGCCTTGGAGCCAGCCACACTGGAAAGCATGCGATATTGGGATCCTGGTTTGGGTCCAGTGATTCATGTTTTTTTCACACCCCCCAGATTTCTTCTGCAGGCTTATCCTCTTTTATTTTTTGTTTCAATTTATTTTTTATTTATTTAATATAATTAATATTTTTTTTCTAATTATTTAAAATCAATTTAGAATTAGGTTTTTCTCTATTAAAATTAACCAAATTAATTTGTTTTGCTTTATTTAAATTGATTAGCTTTTGATAAATA